GTTCATTTAACTCCCCCTGGTGTCATTTTAACACTTTCTGAGTAAACTGACTTCCAGTGTTGGTGTTATTTCACAGTGTTGATTTCCTCAGTGTTGTCTCACTGGACCATGTTAAATAAACCCCACACACTGTTAAGTCTTATGCTGTATGACACTTAACAGTGTTATATGACACCATGCAGTGTTGAAAGAAGTATTCTGAAAAGCCCCACCCTCTTCCACCTCATGTCAGACAGACCAGTATTTTCACAGCAAGRAATGCTGGGTAATCTTGTAGAAATGATGTTTTTGCATGTTTTTGACTATTGAAGAAGTTTATGAGTGTAAGCATGAGTTGTTCTGGTTGTTTTGTTCAGGTTTATCAGTTTATCAAGTTTAATTTAGTGGTATTGGCCATAAATCTTAAACCATGAGTGAGAGGTACTTCCTGGTGTGTGAAGGTCGACTCCATTACACTTATCCAGAAACTACTGTGTAATGTCAATGCAACACTAAAAAGAGTTTATCTTAACTCAAAATCGCTTCTCGGCCTTTTGGCTAAGACAGCGGTCGCCTCCATAGGGTGGTGATAGCGTTAGTCGTTGTGACTTGGCTGTTACCACTGTTTAAAGAGGTCCAAAACTTGACCCTGGTTGAGATATTGACCACAAATAGTGGAAAAATATCTCTTCCTCTTAGTTGTATTTTATTGTTGTGTACTATTCTTAACCTTTTCTTGTTGTTTTAGTAAAAGTTTTAACCTCTAGCAGGTGGTGCCTCCACCATGGCGGCTACTCATGCTGGCATGCAGAGGCACCACAGCATTCGTTTTATTTTTACTGAAAGTGCTACAAGTAATGGAATGTCAAGATTGGACTTCTCTAGGAAACTCATCCAGCAGACACTGAAGTTTCGGCCAGATGACCTGAACTGTATCCTCACCCTGCCCTTTAACAGGGGATACGATGTAAGTTTCACCACCGGCGATTTATTAAAAGAGTTTTGGACAAGGTATGAAAATGTAAAGACCCAGTTTTCAGCATTTGACGTTGAGAAACTGACTGACAACTCCCTGAAAACGGTGATTGTCAGGATGTTCAATGAGACTGTCAGTGCTGAAGATATCTGTAYGTGGCTGGGTAGATACTGCAYGGTGAAGGGCCAGGCTATGAAGGTGCGGGATGTGGACGGCATCTGGAACTGYGCTTGGCGGGTCCCCATTAAACAATGGGAAGACCCCCAAGGCTTCCAGGGCCTGAAACATCTCCCATCCATGATAGTCCTGGGGGAGAACCRAGGCTACGTTCACTATCAGGGCCAACCAAAACTCTGCCGTAAATGTGGTGAGCATGGTCATCTGGNATAAAACGATGGTTAGTTAAAATCCTGATCTCCTCCTCCTCCAGTTTAAAATGCTGTAAAAATTTCTGTATAAAAGCGTATGCCGGTGGGAGGTTAAAAGCTACTGGTTTACTAAAATCACTCTTTAAAAATTTCAATTTCCTTAAATATGACCCAAACCAAAATCTATTTATTGCATTAGTCTTTAGATTGTTAGAAATGTCCATGGCTTGTTTAAAATGAGTGCTAATATAGTGGCTGCCTAAAAACAGGTACAGGTCTGGGACTCCTTTCCCCCCTTTTTCTTTGGGTTTTGTCATAATTTCACGTTTTGACTTTTCCCATTTGGAGTTCCAGATGAAGTAAAAAATGTCCCGTTGCAGCTCTAAAAACACTCTCCTAGGAGGAATAAAAACAGAYCTGGTTAGRAAAAACAGGGGTAAAATTACTGCTTTTACAATTAAAATCTTCCCTTCTATTGTGAGGTTCCTCATTCTCCAGAAACCTAGTCTCTGTTTTACTTTTCGTGTTATTTCTGTCCAGTTTGTTTTTCCTTCGCCATTTTTATCAAATTTAACTCCTAAAATTTTCTGATCTTCTTGGGTCACCTGAAACTGAAGTCCTGTTTGTTCACTATTTTTCCATGGTCCGTAAAATTGTGCTTTGGTTTTATCTTTGTTTAATTTTGAGCCTGATGCTTTACCGAACCAGTCTGTTAGTTGGAAAACTCTGTCCACTGATAAAAGATCTGTGCATAAAATATTAATATCATCCATATATAGAAGACATTTTGCCACCTGCCCTCCACTCCCCGGTATAGTTACCCCTGAGATCAGTGGGTCCCTTCTCAAGATCTGCGCGAGCGGCTCGATGCAGGTCACGTAGAGAAGGGCAGATAATGGACAACCTTGATGGACACCGCAGTTCACTTTCACTGCCTTTGTCAGAAACCCATTAACCAAGAATTTACTAGAGATGTCTCGGTACAGCAGTCCCACCCACGCTATAAACCTATCAGGAAAACCCCTTTTTTTCAGTACCTGGAAAAGGTACTGATGCGAGATCTGATAGAAAGCTTTTTCAAAATCTAGATTTAGGACTATCAGCCGGATGTTCCTGTCTCTCGCAAAACAGATGGTGTCTCGGATCAATACGAGGCTGTCCGTGATCCTCCTTCCCAGCACTGCGCAGGCTTGATCCGGGTG